CCTGCCCTGTGGAGGAAGAGGACACTGTCGGAGTACTCTGTGAGTTGTCACTACTGTTGTTGGTGGCAAGATTCCCACTTGTTGTGTGACCCTTATGTTGCCTTTTGTTCTTTCTCAAAGCAGCTGGCTTCAGATGAGGATACAAGACCCAACATTTCTCCTTTGTGTGTTTCTCACCACCACAATGGGTACACTTGAGGGACTTCTTGTCTGGATATCTATTTCCCTTAGTGGAGACTAGGGCTGAATGTTCACCAGATAGTCCAGTTGACTGTGTCTGGGAGTCAACTTGCATCTCCCTTCTCCTGACTTCTTCATTCCTCACCAGATAGTAAACATGGTGTAACTCGGGCAATTCATCTCTCCCTAGAATTTGTGACCTTATACCCTCATACACTGGGTCCAGGCCAGCCAAGAACTTAAAGGCTCTACTCTCTTCAATCTGCTTATCATGTCTCTCCTTGTCCCTGGCATTTTCCCACTCTAATATCGGTGATGGTCAAGTTCTTCCCAAAGACCTTCCAGAGTTGCAAAGTATGTTGCAACTGTCATATCCCCTTGTTTTTCTTCTGTCCTTGATTCTAGCATTGTTTTTCTTCTGTCCATAGGCCTTAGACACCTTTTCCCAAATCTTGGCTGCTGTAGGAAAGTGATGAACAGTCCTGGCAACCCGAGGAGTCATAGAGGCAAGCAACTAGGACATAACAGTGGCATTCTCCTTGCGCCACACAGCATAATCTACATTGCCAACATCAGGTTCCTTCTTGCTCCCATCTAGGTAGCCTGTGAGGTCACGGGAAGTAATAAACAGCATTGCAGAAACGGACCACTCCCTGAAGTTGTATTCGTCCAGTAGCACACTTGTAATCTGCAAGCTGTGCAGATTAGGGTTTTCCAGATTTGAAGACCTTGCCGCAGGTCTATTATCCCTAGAAGAAACATCTCCGGATATTGAAGACATCTTGACTGCAGCTTCTGTGTAGATGGCACTAATTTAAGACTAGCTGAAGCAGTTCTGAAAATTCTGAACCAGTTCTGATGCAGGTTCTGATTAGCCGAAGTGACCTCAGCAGGCCCTAATAGCTCGCAACACAGTTTCAGACTTGCCGAGACTGTCACAGTTCTGAAGCAATTCAGTTACAACAGCAAATGAGGTGTTCTAGGCTGGTAACCGACCTGTGCTATGCAGACTCCACTTGAACTTCGAGTACTGCAACTATAAAGAGAGTTCCCCTCCTTACGGCCAACACTAGGACTGTTGAAATCAGTCCTCAACTAAGTCTGTCCTATACAGACCTCTCTTAGCAGCCGAATAGCTGCTAACTACTAGAAACTAGTAGGGCATCAGCTTCTGGATCTTACCTCCCTTGCGCCCTACAACCAAGGGAAACCCTAGGTCGAACCTTGTGTTGTTCTCCTGCAACCCTAGGGTTTCACAGCAGCAACCCAGATAAAAAAAAAAAAAAAGAAGAAAGACAGCAAGAGAGAGGAGATGGCGTCGGCTATAACCAGGAAGGTGCTCAATGCTCTGATACCATGAAAGCTGAACTACTGTAGTCGAAGTAGCAGAAAAGAGGAGAAGAAAAAGAGATGTTGGAATGTTGAACTGTACTAGCCAGTCAACCATGCTATTATTTATATTTGAATGTAGTACAAGATACAAGAAATTACTGGAATGCCCTTGATTAGTGATGGAACACCCAGTTAACTTAAAACATTAAACAGGCTTAGGCCCATTAACACAGGCCCAGTTACAGGATAACTTAAACTTAAGTATGGGCTAATAAGAACTCTTATCAGCCGAACACTCATACAAAGAGACATCATTCTAACATTCTAACACATTGAACTAGTTGACAATGTTAGGGCTCTCTTGCAAGAACTATTGCATCTTTTGAAAGGAATGTCAAAACACTGACACTAATTCACAATTTTGTTGAGCAAAAAGAGACCTACGCATTAGCATGGATAACAAGGGAATGCATGTAAAAATTCAATGGGTGCAAAGATCGGCTAACAGCATTGCTGATGTATTAGCTAAACAAGCGTTGGAAAAGGGATCAAATGTTCTGGGCAGTGTTGTAACTTAAGGGTTAAATAGAGTTGGAGATGAGAGATTTTGTCCAATTACTCTGTATATGTTGTACTCTTCCTTCTTCTATCACTCAATGAAGTTTTCAGTTATTGAGGAAAAAAAAGAGCCCTATGTAGGAATGATCATAGTCATCTGTGCCTCTGCTATGCTGCTGCCAGATGTCTCAATAGTGTGTGAACCAGAGCTAAATAATAAAAACTATCCATTTTCCTCAACTTTTTATAAGGGGAGAGTGATTTGGGCATGTTCCATTTTTAGAAAAGAGGGCATACCCTCTAATCATTAGTTAAAAAGTACATATGTAAAATGACAAAGGGAAAGCCAAAGAAGCCATGGTTTGAAGTTGTAAAAAATGATCCTAAGACTTGCACTTTGACAGAAAACATAGCTCTTGATAGAACATAATGGTAGGAGAGGATTCATGTAACCAAAACCAAATAACAGGGATTACGACTGAGTTGAGTTGAGTAGAAATGGCTTTATCTTAAAAGACAAAAGTATCCAGGTACTTCAATTTTTATTATTACAAAATAATTTTCTTTTTGCCTTTTAGCTAAGAATATGCTCAGTTCATCACATTGGAGATGTGCCTAAACCAATCCCTTCTTATAGATTAGATATACACTTGAAGCCTTTTAACATACTACATCCTTCTAAAAGCCACTAATTCCTCAGCTCTTGGAACTGCACCCATGTGGCTAAGGATGTGTTGAGCAATCTCTGCCATGATACAAAGGCAATGAAAATTAGAAATGGGTAGAAGAAGACAGACCTGGTTAAAAGGACGTGTTTCTGTGCAAAATGCCCTTTCTAGGACACCTGTAGCATGAAGTGCACGGATAACACCAAGAGCAGTACCATACCCAGCTGTTGCAAGACTGTTAAAGCAGTAAGGGTAAGAATAGAGATCCAATGATTACATAACAAACATACAAAACACTATCCAAAGAATCTGAGAGACTGAGACACCTGCCAGTGTTGCAATGTGTCAAAATCGACAGCCTATTGGAATCTTTCAGTTGGCTCTGAAGAAAGCTTGATCCATATGCCCCAATTGCTTTGTTTGAAGCAACATCGTCATTAAGCATGGTTTCAGCAGCTTCTATATAGGCCTGCAAAATGAACACAGGGTGCATCCATCATATTGCTATGGCAAGAAGACCATCTGCGGTACATGCTCAATATTACCTGGAGAGATTACTGCAATAAAAAAATGGCAGAAGTATACTGAAATTAAGGCATAATAAATGTTTATTGGGAAGGGAGGTTAACCAAAAGAACCAAACCACAATGTTTTTAAAACTGACCAAGATGTCAATCTAGAAGGCCATACCAGTGGCAGGTTAGATGGTTTAACTAACAGGATTGCCTGGTAAAACAATCAGAACCATCCAAAACCTGGGGGCCCAATCAGCTGTCATGATTACCAGTTCAAGCATCCAGATCAAATAAAAGGTTTGAAAACACTGCCAAAACATACTAGCTACTTATTTTAGCATAATAGAATCATATAAACTTGTTCAACTTTGTGTCAATTAATTTACAACAGATCAACTAAACCAAATCACAAGGCAACTACTTCATTTCAAAAACATTAAAAGTTTAGAGAGAGAGAGAGAGTTACTACATGAAAAATAGATCTGGCTTCACCAGTAGTGGAAGCAGCATTTAATATGACATCTTTAAGCTTTGTTGCAGCATCATAAAGGTTAACTGCCGTTGGTCGGCTGCAAAAGCATGAAAATATGAGTATATATCCACCCAATGATTGATAATGAACACAAAAAGATCCTTAATATCAAGAGCTTAATTAGCAATAAACAGAAAATAAGATCATGGTTAAGAAGCAGTACGCCAAATTTTTTATCAAAAAAAAAGGGAGTGCACCATATTCATCCAGAAATACCTGGAGACAAGGTACTCTAATTTCTTAATAAGGAAAGAGGCAGCATCACCAGATGTCCCAACAAAAGACTCCAAGTTGAACACTTCTACAGCGAGGGAGAGCGCTGCTGCTATAGCAATTGCTGGCGCACCACGGACCACCATATCCCTTATTGCATTCCTGCAAGATCAAGGGCATTCCAAGTTAAAAACCACTGAGATATTGCATATATTGAGGTGCACTACCATCCAACTTGTGTAGATTTATTAATATATCAAATAGACAGAAGAAATAGCCCCTAGAGAACCTTTTTACAAGAAAATCAGGCCAGTGACACTATGAACCAGAAATACTTTGCAGTAACGTAAGTTGGGTGGTAGTACTATGAACCTTTTTACATGAAAAGGTCGTACCTACCCCAAAAGAAACATTATATGTCTCACCCTCCACCCTGACCTCTTGAAGCATGGAACTCCCCCAATACAATCTGACCCTAGTTCCTGATCTGGCAAGATTGTCAGCCAACTAATTTGCTGTTCTCCTGATTCAAGTGAGATATGTTCTCCAAGGGTTAAAGAACCAAGGTTCTCTAATAAGTAACTCATCTGCCAAGGACCTTACTCCTCTACATTCATCCAGCCAATAACAACCTAAGAATCATCTTCTACATCTAATCTTTGACATCCCAAAACATGCAAAAATCTCAATCCTTGTAAGAGAGCCAGTATTTCTGCCCTGATTGCAGTATCAAATCCAACTAGCCCTGTAAAATCACAGATGATGTCACAATTTTCATTTCTGAATTCTGAATGCTCCACAGTTGTGTATGGACACAGAAATAGGAGTCAGAATCCAATAAACATCCAAGAGTCCGACTCTGGAAGATGAGAAAACATGGACTCACAGAAACGTCTATGGAAAAGTGTCACCATCATCATCATCATCTAAGCCTTGTATGTGAAAAAGTATATTCTATTAAAATAGTCCATGTTTTTTTAATTATAACATTATATACCTGCAAAATAGTTCACCTTTATTACTAAGTAATGTTTGATACGATAAATGGCATTCATCTTGTATATCAGCTGTTCATTTATATCAAATAAGCTAGGAGATAAAAAGGAAATGTTGCATAGTGTCCTCGAGAATCCATTGGATGTCAGACTCTGATACGTGTACAACATGGACATGTCATCCATTTAGGAGAGTCCATGCAGTCCTCAGAATTTTACTTTATTGCACCTTGGGCTAGAGAAAACCACCTTCCACTTGAATCTCTCTTCTTACAGAAGATTTTGAAATCCCATGCCATGATCTAAGAATATCATCAACTAAAGTGAAAAATCAGTTAACTCTTCCCTTTACACAGTGAGATGCCCACGAGTAATATTTTATCAAAATTTCCACCTGATTTTCCTTTTTTTTTCTTGAAGCACTCTTGCATTTATTTCCTCCCATACCAGCCATCATGTCTTGTAAACCTCCCAGGCCTGAACTCAAGTCATCAAGATCCGGCTAAGGAATGGACTCAAGTCAACAGAATTCAAAATGCTCAAGTTTCTAACAGCACCAAAAGTAGAACAGATCATCTCTCCTCAAACATAAACAAGTCTAGAGAGGGTAACTAACAAGAACTTTCCTACAGAGCATTCAGCCAGTAGCACAAAGAACACCAGAAAGTGAAATATACATGCTGCAGCCTCAGGTGGTGGAGATTGTTCACCCAGAAAAGGGAATTCAATCCACCTTTCTGCTTTCCAGTTTCAACCATAAAAGGATCCTTACAAGACTCCAAAGGGTTCTAGCAAGCACTCCCTCAGGCCTCAAGAAAGTTTATTGAAACACCAAAAAATCAATTAACATGGGAAGCGGGCCTCTTAAGCCATCTCTTCCATTTTCTTTAATTGAACTATTAGTTTCTCTTCTCCATCCTCTAATTTGGTTTTACTGAGTTGGCCATTTTGTTCCTTTCATCCTAAAATGCCTTTTTCTCTTTTTGGGATTTTTAATCAAATAAGAGCTCTTCTTCTATGTGGGCATGTTGAGTTCATCCTAAGTCCTAATCATATTCTACAGGAGTTAAAGGGGGGAAAGAGATAAACATGGGAAGGAAATCCCACAATGTAATTAAAAAACCTATTTTTATTCCTTTTAAGGTTTCCAGAATTTTATGCTAAAAGGATTTTACCTTTGTCTTTAATATTGTAATTACAATTACAAATAGCTAGATGGCTCAATAAGAGTGTATAGAAGATCCATATATGGTTAAAAAAATCCCATGCTGTTAATCTTAAACTCTTTTCCACTTCCTCTTCCTTCTTTTTTATTGATAACCACTGCTTTTCTTTTAGTTTTGGTATTTGGAAATCCTAGCTAAATAAGACTTTTATATTAAATAGAAACTTCATTGAAAAAGAAAAATTTACAACCCATAGTTGTCAAGGCAATGCCTAGGCACCCACCTAGGCGACAAGGTGCCCTTGGAGGGTTGCCTTGCCTAATTGCCAAGCAGATTTATACATGGTGTTATGAAATACTTTTATATTCTTAGTTTTTGAGATTATAATTATAAAATACACATTATTAAACTAAAATATTCATTTATATACTAGTTTCTTCAGCCCCTGTATTTTCTAATTTTTCTTCTTTCTTCTTTCTTCTTTCTTCTTTTTCTTCTCATGAATATGTTGTATTTTCTATGCTTTAAAATGAAGTTTGTAGTTATAAAAATTATGGATAATTATTAAGGAAATGTGGGTATTAGTTGCCATGGAACCTAGGGAACTACCCTATGATATTATGATTTTTTTTACTTAAAAAAAAAAACATCGCCTAGGCGACTAGGCAACAAGACACCCCCCCCCCCGGTTGCCTAGCCTCACCTTTGCCTTGAAAACTATGGTACAATTACAGGTGACATGTAAGGAATCAACAAGTAGTCAAGAAGATAAAATATTCTTCCTTTCCTAAGACATGGTAAGGTATAGAGTGATGCATAATTGATAATAAATGGAAAAGACAGGATTCAATACAGTGGAAATGAAGTAACAGATCAACAGATTCAACACCACAATGAAAAGTTCCCAACAAGCCCAAAATGGAACAATGCCACTATGGGCTACTTCATGATGAATTCACATCAATTGAAGCAAAAAACACCAGTGTACACATAAACTAGCTCAAACTTTTGATAAGGCCTCCAAGTGAAAACAACAATAGCAGCAAAAAGATATGTACCCATAAAAGAAAAAAAAAAAACGACTCATTCTGTTTATATTTATTTTGTGTATAACTGACATGGAATAGACTCAATACTAAGGTTAGTGGGGAGGGGTTCCTGATACTCAAAATGTAAGATAGATTAAAAGAAACAAAAGAAGCTCATCATCTTCTGATGATCTTAAGGCAGGCCCAAGCCACACTGCTAGACATCAAGATATATCTAATAAAACTTTGGTGGACAAAATCAAGGTTAGAGGAGATTTCCCTTTTTTGACCAGTAACTTCCCTAGCGTTTAATATAGTATGCAAGATGACTTGTTGGTAACGTCATGATGGTACTCGGAACAAGTGAAGAGAAATCAACCATTGAACAAGACACGATATGTTTTACAAAACCATAAAGTGCCAATATATTTGGGTGATGACCATGGATAAAGTTTTCTTTTCTTTCTTTCTTTTTTTTTTTTTTTTTTTTTTTGGGGGGGGGGGGCGGCGGCGGTAAGGAGATAAAGAATTATGAACCACTAGAACTTATACAGACCGTGCCCCAATAAATAAATAAATAAGACTTTCAAATGACAAATAAGATCATGGAAAAAATTCATAATAACTGGGGCAAGTGATAAAGAGCACAAATGCATTACCATCCATCTGTGACATCGCGGACATCCAAATAGATAGTTTCAAGAGGCAGCCTTCTCTGCATAATAGTTACAAAAGTCGAACAAAAAAAATACAGAAGAGTGATTAAATGAATAGTGAATAGGAAAAAAAATGAAATAACAAATATTGCCTTCATCAAGCTTCTTTATAAATATTTTCACTCAAAAAAACGCAAAGGTAATAGCGTTTAGAGAGCATGTGATTCCAGTAAGAGACCTGATCGAGTAGCCGGAGAGAACCTCGCTTGTAGCAGATAGATTGCAGCGAACTTTCGTTGCTTAATCCCTCCTCGGAATCCAAATCAGGTGCCATTCCAATCTATTCAAGCTTCTGTGGATTAGAAAACAGATTCAGTAATAGCATGTTACGAAACGGAAACAATTAGAAGGAAAAGTAATAGTATCGACTGGCATGTGTAGATACTCAACGACAGAAAGAAACAATTTAAGTATCAGATAATTCAGAATGACCTTATATATTTGAATAAGATGATAAGAATTAAGAAACCCTTTATAATCTTGGACGGTAATCCGGTACGCAGAGAAGCTTCTTCACCAGATTGAAGTCGAAGCCGTCATGACACCAACGGCGACAGTATAAATAGCCCGCTTTCTGGGATAGTGGGAGACAGAATATTCCCGTCAAGGAGCTACCCGTCCTTAAGTCGTCACTCGTCACTCGTCAGTCCTCACTTCACTAGATTGTAGTCTACACTCTACAGTCTAAAGTCACTCTTCACTGTCGCAGCTTGCCGGGGAGGGTGAGTTTGGGTTAAATGGAAAATAATAAATAATAAATATAAAAATATTATACATATATAATAAAAATATTATATATATAATATTTTATTTTTATATATAATAATAATTAATTATTATAATTTTTATTTTTTAAAATATCAAATAAAAAATTATACATATATATAATTTATTATTTTTTATAAAACATTTAGCTCACAGTTAACTTCGAGGTTATGAGCTTTTGACTTGAGTCAAACTCGAGCTCAAGTCTTTAGCTCTAAGTGGAGCCTCATACTTTCTTGGTGAATTGGGTTCAAATAGCTATTTGGCTCAACTCGAATCAAATCCACCTTTGAGCATAACCCATTAATGTATGGGTTTTATGCATAAACTGCTACAAAATATTTTTTTTTTGTTGTCTTACACAAATTTTGCGTAATATTAGTTAGATTTTGACTAGGGCGTATGGCCGTAACTCACCCTCTCAAAAGGGAGAGGTTCTGGGATGAATTGGATTCATTGCATGAAGTTGAAGACCTTGTTTGGTGTTTAGCAAAAGATTTTAATGTCACGAGATTTAAGAGTGTTTCAATGATAGAGCTTTTTTCTTCTGAATTTTATCTTATTTCACATGTTTGGTCATCTAAGTATAATACTAGTTACATTTTTTAATTGCTATTTTAACCGATGAAATTTAGGTTTGCATAAAAGAATTTTAAATTTTACAATATTAGAGTGGCTACATATTAGTCTAGCTATTGCAAATAGTATTTTAAATAATATATATAATTATGGTATCAATGACAACATTTTTTCAATTACTTTTAATAATAATAATAATGATATGGCTATAAGTGCTTTAAATTTTCAATTAAAACCTATTTTAGAAATAAAACTATTTCACATTATATCTGCTTGTATGTTTTAAATTTATCTATACAAGATTGTTTAAATATTATTTCATAATACACTTCAAAAATTATAAATTATATTTGATATATTAGATCTTCAAGGTAAAGAAAACAGTATTTTAAAATTTTAAGTCATCAATATAGAAGAAATATAAAAAGTTTATGCTAGATGTCCAACATAGGTGGAATTCCACTTATGTTATGTTAAGGTAGTATACCATATAGATAAATTATTCAAGTTTTTATAATCAAATAATGTCAAATAATACGATAACTGAATTTGATTGGGAAATGAAAAGTTGTATATAATAATTTTTTTACAAATATAAGATTTGTTTCGCCTTTATATTGTTTAGTTACAATATTAAATCCTACAATAAAATTATAAGGTGTAAATATAATGCTTAATTCATATAATCAAAATATGTAAACAGATCTATGTGACCAAAAGAATAAATTAAAAATCTATTGTTTAGTATGTATAATTTTTATAAATCTAAAATAAAAAAAAAAAAAAGATTTAGTGCTGCCTACTAAACATAGTAGTAGTAGTACATCATGTAAAATTAATGATATGGTTCTTAACAAGTAAAGGCATTGTTTTGTTCATCTTCATCCAAATCAAGTTCATCTTTTAGTAGGCTCGATTTTTTATTTGTAAACTAATTTTCAAAGTTTCCTAGCATTAGGGGTGCAAATGGATCAGATAATGGTTCAATCCGATCCGAAATCCCATCCTAAATTATTGTATTTGGATATCCCCATTTTGAATCTTTAAATTGGATCGGATAATAGGAATTGATAAGAAAATCGGATCGAATTCGAATAACCCCCTACTTGATATGAGAATATCTTATTAGATATATACGTTATTTATTCACTTATATAAATATATATAACGCATATACATATGTTATTTATTTATTTGTTTATTTATATTGCATTTTTATAAATTTGTTATATTATTTATTTCTTTATAAAAAGCATGCATATATATGATGTAAATAGTTGAAAAGATACTTATATATTTTTTACTTTATTTAAATTGTTATATTTTATTTTTCTCTTAATAAATTATTATATTTTACAAAATTAAATCAGATTGAATAATATCTAAATATATGACTTTCTCATCAGATTTGAATTCAAATCCATGTTTATTCAAAGCGAGTTGGGTTGCAATTAACAATGTTGGGTCGAATTTGGATATACCATAATTTGAATTTGATCTGATATGTTTGCATCCCTACCTAGCATGTGAGGAAATAGAATATTTTGATATTTTAGCCTAATACAAAAGCACGTGAAAGTAATTATCTTATGCTTGCCACTTTAGCACGTGATCTATTAACCCCATTGATGTCTATAGTAGCATTAGAATCTTGTTTTAGTGTTGAAAACATGGTGCTAGATGAGAAGAAAAGCCAATCAACAAATGAAAACTTGGAGATGTGCATTTGTCTGAAAATTTGGTTGGATTCAAAAGATGAATTACAAGATAAAGGAGGACATGACATATCATCCAATGCATCATCAGAAGAGTAATAAAGTGGGACTTAAAGATTTTTTTATTATTGTAAAATTTGAGATTTTTCAATCTTATATATACCTTTTTATTTGCAATTTTTTTTAATTCCATTGTAAAATTATACTTTCAATTTTTATTATGGCATTTTTTTAATTTCATTTAATCATTTTATATTTTTATTGTATGAATTGATTATTCATATGAAATAAAATTCTGAGATGTTTTTTTTAAATGTTGTTGCAATCATTGGTGATGATGCACGATCTGGCCGGTCTTAGCTGTCGATGATCTTGCCTCTGAACTGAGTAACAGGGACCTGAAACGGGAGGAGAAGAGAAGCT